TATATATATATATATATATATATATATATAGGATCACAGAGAAGGAGTGTGTTGGTGTTTGAGGTGAAGTTTATGTTTATATAGAAAGCGTAGAAACTGCTGTTTGAGGGCGTTTGTATTAACGGAGCCTTTAAAGGTTTTTGGTATTGAATCAAAGAGAAGGAAATCAGGTTTATATGCTTTGGGTAGAATATAATTTATTTTATTATTATTATAAAAAAAATATTTTATTTTATTTTTTATTTCTTCTATACTACAGCTTTCTTCTGTTTCATGTTGTATACTCACCGTAACACAGTTATCGTCTTCATGTTCACTTCTCCATTTGATTCCGATTGCAGCAACAGAAAAATATTTATTATTTATATTTAATTCTTTTGAAATAATTTTATTTAAAAAAGAGTTTACCTGCATACAAGAGTAGTTTGCTCCTCCCTTTATCATCATCTCTGCTGCGCGTGAAACCCAAAAGAAATCCTTTTCTTTGTCTTTTTTATTCAATAAACTAAAACATATATCACCAAAACCTAAATACCATCCATCTTTTGAAAAAGGATGCAAAATACCACTTTTATTTATATATCCTATCATACAGGTTTCGCTTCTGCATACAAGGTAGCCGCACTCGCCGTCTGTACACCGCAACTATGGAAAGGAAAGCAGAAGAAAACACCCAAAAAAAAACAAAAAATTAAAAAATAAAATACATTTCCACCGTAGAAATTTATTTATCTTTTATTTTAAACCAAAAAATACAAAAATTATTCATAAAAAACCAAAAAACAACCAAAAAAATACAACTTGAAAAATTCATGTTTTCTTCTCTATAGGGTTTAGGGTTTAGGGTTTAGGGTTTAGGGTTTAGGGTTTAGGGTTTATGTTTTTTTTTTCTTTCTTTTAGCAAATGAATTTGAAACATTCTTTTGTTTATTTTATTGAAATATTAAATAAAAAACTTAATTTCCTCTGTTTTAATATAATATGTTTTGTGTGTGTTTTTGTATGAGTTCTTAGTATAACATCTATAGATGGATTTTTATATATTTGAGTGTTTGTAGGTATTTTTGTTTATATTTACAAAATAAAAAAGTTTATTTATATTTTTATTTATATTAAAAAGTTTATTTATATTTTTTTTTTATATTTTTATATACAAAAGAAACTCACCATATAGTCTTTATCTTCTGGGTTTACGCTCTTTACAATCTGCATTTCTGTTAGTCCTTTATGCGGCCTCCCTATATAATAACCTCCTTTGTTTCCTCTTTCTTCTTGAATATCATTTATATTTTTATTTTCATTTATATTTTTATTTTTATTTAATATTTTTTCTTCTTCTTTTTCTTTTTCTCTCCTAGTTGCATCTGCATGCATGTCGCTGGCTTGGATCTCCGCTGTTTTTTCTTCTTCT